AAATGGGTAAATTAACGCGAGGGTCTTTTTCCCCCCTTGTGTATTGTACTCTTACTGAACCGCACCAAACAATGAAACTGAAGCCACAGTACATAACGAACCATGACACGTGCGATCCCGAACAATCTTAGGAATAGACAAATATTCCTACCTGGAAAAGTGTAGCCGATGGGTTGTCCACAATGGTTTTTGGGGGTGTGGTGACTGAAACAAATGATTTTAAAGTTGAAAAAAATTGAGGAAACACATATTGGTTAGGAACCATAACTGTGATGAAGATGACAAAAGAGTGATAATATAGAAAACCTACAAATAACGATGCTGATTCCATGAGGAAAAATTCCATGGAAAGGGGAATGAAGAATGAGTAGAATACATACTGCACAATAATATGTAGTCAAGATAGCCAAAACATAGCTGTAGTAAGTGTTAGCTAAACAGAGGTAAGGGATTAGTTTTTAAAATTTAAGCCTAACCCTAACCCTAAACCCTAACCCCTAACCCCTAACCCTAACCCTAAACCCTTCCTTTATTGCTTCCTTGTTCTTAATGATGGTACAAATCAACAACTTTGCTAAGCCATACTGTAAAGCCAGATTTCACTAGCTTTTTTAGGTGCCATGGGTAGTTATGAAATTTAAAAAAATAGTTCAATGGCACAGTGCCCCCCACTTTGTGGGAACCTCTCAAGACACCTGGCTGTGGCGGATTGAAGAAATGCTGAAAATTCCCTTACTCCCTGGGTGCTTCTCAAAGCACCAACTTTTCAATTGGGATGTGAAATGTGAGAAAATGTGTTGCGTGTATGTGACTATCAGAATTATTATGGAGCCGGAACTAAAATCCCAGTCCGAGTGGTAAACAAAGAACATACTTACACAAGTAAAAATTTAGCTGAGGATTCTCCAAATGACTCTTGACAAAGTGGCTTACAGACCCAACTAGTGGAAAAAAAAAAGAGAGATCATACATCATCAATGTTTATAAAGTAAACACACATATACACATATACATATATATATACACATATGTATACATATGTATATGTATACATATACATATATATATACATATACACATATATATACATATATACATACATATATACATA